GCTACCCGACATAGTCAATGAAGCGGGGATTTAAATATCCCCGGCTTCATTAAAATAAAAATGGCCACCGTGCTGTGCCGGCTCAGCTGATCGTCGGCACAATGTGCGAGTCAAGACGCGGATTGGTTGACAAGGGAAGCCTTTGTCGACCGTTCCCTTATGCCTCACGGAACGAGGTTTACAGGAGCGGTCAACAAAGGCTTCCTTTGTCGACCGATCTGCATCTTGACTCGCGCTGTGCCGACGATCCACTGAGCAGGCACAGCGCAGCGTCCATTTTTATTTTAATGAAGCCGGGGATATTTAAATCCCCGCTTCATTGACTATATTGGGTAGCCTATTTTACATGCCTCTGTCGGCAGAGGCATGTAATTTAGACATACCCTTAAAGAACATTGATCTGTAAGCTTTCAAGATCACTTGCAACTGACTCTTAAATAACTTGGAAGGAAGCAAAGCCAATTTTGACAGAGTACCAATCCTTATCCTCTTTTGTCCACTTGGTCTTCTCTAAATAGCTTATAGCCATGATTTGAGTCATACTTGGACAACTGTCTTCTGTATTTGAGTTTTCAAAAGGATAATGTTTAATAGCTCACTCTCTGCTTGGTCTTGCTGTGAAGCTATAATGTCATATATGCCATATTAATATGTTATCAGGGAACTCTGAAGTGGTGTAATCAATTCAGTGTTACAGTAGATGTGCCCTCTGAAAAAATGTCTTCAGCTAACCCTCTCGTTAGCCTAGTAAACTGTGCCCATTACTAGTGGGTGTGTCAGGAGTTGCCAGGAGGAGTGGTATCTGCCAGAAGTCTCAAGGTCTACGTGCCCCTTCAGCTGCATCTTGAAATATGCAAACCCTTCCTGCAATCTGGATATGTTCAATTTGCTCCTAGTAGCGGGGATAAGCTACAGCACATGATTGACACTGTTTTACATTTGTGATTATAAAGAATGGACTTTATTTTCTATGTTAATATATTTTGGTTCAAATTAAAAAATAAAGCTGTAACAGGACATAGTAGTGACCTAAACTTGCATTCATTCCTTACAATGTCATTGCCTAATCAAGTAGGCACAGTGACAGACTGTAAAAGGGGAAAGTCCCTTCCCTCCCCCCACCCCGAAATATTCCACAGCATGAAGCTTTCAAGGATGTAGGCAGAGTCTTATACTACCAGAATCCTAAATGGCTTCTTTTTTTTAACTAAGTAGTTGCAGCCTATAGAAGTCTTAAAAGCATATATTGAAAAGGGTAGGATGAAAACTTGTTTTCTGTGCATACATTTTTGTTGCCTGGTTGTAATGGACTCAAGTTGTAGTGGAAGGAGGTCTAGGTTGGATATTGGCAAAAACTACTTTACTAGGAGAGTGGCGAAGCACTGGAATGGGTTACCTAAGGAAGTGGTGGAATCTCCATCCCTAGAGGTTTTTAAGTCCTGGCCCTGGCTGGCATGATTTAGTTGGGATTGGTCCTGCTTTTAGCAGGGGGTTGGGTTCAATGACCTCCTGACGTCTATTCCAACCCTATGATTCTATGATTCTTCAAGCATATCACGAGGCAATACTGCTTGACACCAAGTATGGTGAAATTTCTCAGTTACTCAGAGACATGATTTTAAAATGCCTTTCCCATACTTTAATGTGGAAAGCCTATGGTCACAGGTACCTGGTTTTTGTACAGGTATCTGAGATTCTTGTCGCATTTCACATTGTTATCTTTTCAAGTTGCCTTGTTGGAGTTTCTGCTAGCCATCAGGCAGATGATCTTTCTCTGAGACTGCTGTAGATTTGTTGAGGTGACAGTGGCTGAATTCCCACTGAATATCAGCTCCTGTTGTTAATTGATGGGTATTGACTACTTCTGAAGGAAGTTCTGCCCAGTCTTACACCAAAAGCCTGGTAGCTGTGAAAAGTGGCCAGAAAAAGATAAACAGGGAGGGCCTTTCCTTTCTAGGCTCTGACAGGGATGCCTATGAAAGGTTGTTGGGAGGAAGATGGCAGTTGTTTCTTGAAACTTGATTCTATTTAAAATTTACTGTAGAAAAATTATATTAGTGCTTATCCTGAATTTGATTACTCAGGGAAGGATGCACTAAGTATTGTTACCCAAGCGCCACTATTTAAAAAAAAAGATGATTATGAAATGTGCGTTTGTTGCCTGATCAGACTGAGCAAGTTTGAAGTGTTAAATATGGTCCTTTCATTTTTTGGCAGTTACACCCAAGCCAGGAGCATCTACGGTACAAAACACAACTCAAGCATCATCCCCTGCTCAAACACAGGCCTCACAACAGAATCTTCAGTCCGTGCAAACAACTCATTCCTTTCCTTCCTTGACCCCTGACATTATTGTCCAGACGCCAGTAATGACAGTGGTGCCTCCTCAACCATCTGCCCCTCCTCCACCTCCTCCCCCACCTCCTGTTCCCCCAACTCCTGCTCCCCAGCCCATTCAAGCACACCCGCCTGTTATCCCAACAGCTGCACAGCCTGTGAAGGTGAGTGAACAAGAACTCTGGAGTTAGTGAGTCAGGATTCTGTGTGTTCCATTTCCTCTCTAGGAGAGAAGAGGCTTGTGGGATGACTATTTTAAAACAGTCACTGTGAAGTCCCTTTCTTCTTAAGGTTTAAAACTGCTTTATAGATTTTTACTAATTGGAAGCAAGGGATTTCCAAGAGCGCATAGGAGTGTTAGGCTCCTGACTCCTTATTTGTCTTTGAAAATCCCACCTGAGTTGACTTGTGCAGGGTCATACAGCAGTAAAAGCAGAATGATGAGTATAGTCCAGGAGTTCTGATTCCCAGTCCTCTTCTCTAACCAGTAAGACCCTTCTTGACTTGTCCTTATCAATTAAAAGTAGAATCTGTTTCCCATGGGTTGACAGGTAGCAAAGTCATTGAATAGAATGAGATGTTTTTGGGAGGTTTGCAAGGAAAAGAAAACCCTCTGACTTGAGAAACTGTGTCACTCTGGTTAAGCGATGCAAAATTGACTAGTAATTTTGGTTTTTGGATGCTCAACTTAACATTCCAACTCATTAAAATCAGGTTCCTTTATGGTGTCTCAAATTGGGTACCCAGAATTGCCTCTTGCTTTTGCAAATTTTGGCATATATCTTCAGCAGATCAGAACCTGCCAACCAATACTTATTATTTTCAGCAATGTCTTTAATATTGTTGTATCAGTTAAGATTACTACTTCCATTTCTCCTGAGACATGTCGCTTCTGTGGCTGTCATGTGCCATATACAAAGTTCTTGGCAGAGTTAGGTACCCAAGTTGAATAAACTTTCAGTGGGAGTTGGTCACGTTATTGCCAAAATAATTTGGGTTCTGGGTTTTTGAAAAAAACTGCACAAGCTGTAGAAAAGTATCCTAAGAGGTTTACTTGACCATGGTTCCTTAAGTAAAAGGTTTTGAATTCTCATTTAACCATCCTCTTGATATTTGCTAATATAATAAAAGATAATTTGTAGTTGTACATTTTCTAGACTGTGTAGTAAGAACGTCTTTCAGCATGCATATTTATAGAAAGCTTTTTAACTTTTTTTTCCCATTTCACCTGAGTACTTCGTGTTTATACTTTAATATGCAACCAGAGGTGGATCCAGTGAATAGAATAGCAACAAAAGAGCACAAGATTATATTATATTGTAATGCTGTTGTATTTGTTATTTTACAGACAAAAAAGGGAGTGAAGAGGAAAGCAGACACCACAACACCAACAACAATAGACCCAATTCACGACTCCTCCTCACTGCCCACTGAACCCAAGTGTGCCAAGATGGGCCCACGAAGGGAAAGCAGCCGGCCAGTGAAGCCTCCAAAGAAGGATGTTCCAGATTCTCAACAGCATGTGGTAGAAAAGAGTAACAGTAACAAAGTGTCTGAGCAGTTAAAGTATTGCAGTGGCATCATCAAAGAGATGTTTGCCAAGAAGCATGCTGCCTACGCATGGCCCTTCTACAAACCTGTGGACGTGGAAGCACTGGGACTGCATGATTATTGTGATATCATTAAACATCCCATGGATCTGAGCACAATCAAAGTAAGCTCAGTTTCACATAGCCAAAACAATAGACTGTGCAGGAGGAATAACTTCCCTGGGGAAATGCAGTCTGTTTTACGTGCCAACTCGTGTGTGGGTGTACACATGTAGTTGCATGCTTAACATGGTGTGTTGTAGAGATCCACCAAAAATGTGTGTGATACAAAAGATTTTTCTCTGGGACTCTGAAATCAATTAACCATTCCCTTTCCACTTGAAAAGTCTGGTAGGGGGAGTCTCTTATCTGTCCATAGTTAGCTAATTTTTAGGTGGCAGGTTCTGAAAAGAGGATAATCATCTTTCCAAAATGGTCTTCAGAAAAAATTGCCTATGCATTTTATAAAAGTAAATGTCCTCTGCTGTAGCAGTCTACTCTGAATATGCTTAGCCAAGATAATGGGCTCCATCAGTACAGATTGCTGTAGTGGAATTTTTCTTTAAAAAAAACAAAAAAAACCCCCAAAAAAACCACCACTTTCCTCCCCCTCCCTCCCCGTCCTGGCTATTCACTGTTACAGGAAATGTTCTGCTTAACATAAAAGACCATATTAACAGCAAATCAAAGCTTTTTACTATAAAGACATAGCTAGCTCCATCTTGTGTAGTATTTGAGAATTGCTTATCCAAGAGAAGTAATTGCAAAGCAGTCCATATCTCTGCTGAAAATGCTGGTTTATTGATTGGAGCACTAAAATTGTATAACTTCATCATGGATATAGCCTTAAACTGCAGATTTCTTTGCTTGTATCAGTTTAACTCAGAGCCCTAATATTCACATAACTTTTTTCTTTTTAAAAATACTTTTAAGCAGAAGAAATAGGAAATTTTTCTCCCATGCCCATATTGAGATGACTTTACCAGTATGAGGTGAATGAAGGAAGATAGTTTTTCCTTCAATTGAATAATTAAAAAACTCTGCTAAAGATTGACTGAGTAACTTTGCCCTTTTTTCTGAGTATGCATAATAACTTTGAACATTCTGTAGTAACCTTCAAATCTAAGAAAAAAAATCAGGAAATTCTGGAAAAGTGCAAGTACAGAGAGGATCTGGATGGCTGAAGCATTGGTAATGGGATAATAAAGCTCTTTATTCCAGGTCACTGATTGAAATTTAGTTCAAGTTGGTTGTGAGCAAAAATCATTGCCCATGACAACTGTTCTATGTTTATATGAAATGCATTGGTGGGTCTTGTTCCAGTTGCTGATGGTCAGGTGTCCACCTCTCAAAAAAACACCATCACTTTTGGCCTTGTTGTTGGCAGGCACAGCAGAGAGGCAAAGGATTGAATGAGCCATGGAGACAGAACTATCCTCACCTCTGGCTCCTTCAGACAAAAATTGAGGTATATAATGAGATGGTGTGGACAAGTGTCTATAAATTGAGATCTGCACATGCCATGGCTTCACACCACTACATTCACTTCATAAATAAAATGAGGTTGCTGTGCAGGGAGTTTATTTTAAGGCTTGTGTTTTTGTAATGCCAGACAGTTTCTGGATTGACTAAGCCTGCACAATTTAACTGCTTTTTTTGTTTGTTTTTGTTTTCTTTAATTAAGATCTGTTTCTATCCTGGGGTGGGGAAAGATTCACCCATAGATCCTTGGGGGAATTTGTTCCCGCACTACTCTCTCAAATGTCCTGTGCTGCCACAGCCAGTTGGATGTGGTTCCCTGTGTCTGACAGAAAAATGCCAAGCATTTTGCCTTCTCAAATGCTTTGAAGTTTCTGCTGACCTGAAGGAGGGACTGTCTTGTGGTCCCAATTTCTAATTCCTCAAGCTGTCACTGCTATGCTGGACTGACCCTATTGCGGGATGTCTTTAATTGCTACTGACAGTTTAGGATTTCTCTTATAAAAAAGTGATACAACGATTAAAAACTTGTTTTTTTTAGAAATCATTTCTAATGTGTGTGTGAAGTTTTAGCACATTGTTGTTCAAAGTCCTGCACTGTGATTGGTAACGATATTCATGGGCATGGGGATCAGTAATCTAGTGTATTAGTTCTTTCATGTTGTTCATTGAATTAGTAGAGTAGTGAAAGTGTCTGCCAGATGCAGGCAGAAGTGTTCTCCCATGTGGTTTGCAGCTGCCCATTGGGATGGGGGGGGCGGGAGGGGTGGTTCTGTAAAGGAATACCAGCTCCAGCATTCAATGTTCCATTTTGATCTCAGGAATTTGGCTGCATTATACATTTCTGTAGTTGTCTTATGGATGCACCTCCATGTTATAGTTCAGGGCAGTTGTAATCTGTTCCATTTTATGTAAAACAAATGCAGATCTCCAGTTTCGGGCAAGTTTCTAAAGCACTGCTCCATTTAGTAAAAGTTAGATATAAATGGAGATTAGGTGGAAGTCCAGAACTCTCAGAATGCCATAGTTCCAAGATGTTTCTTGTCCATTCAGTAACTTATTTTGTTTGCTCTGTTGATAGTGGAGTTTTGTTTTCCCTTCTAGTCTAAACTGGAGAACCGGGAATACAGAGATGCTCAGGAATTTGCAGCAGATGTCCGATTGATGTTTTCCAATTGTTACAAATACAACCCTGCTGATCATGAGGTGGTAGCTATGGCACGGAAACTGCAGGTAAAAAAACTGCTTTGTTAGAGTGCTTTTCTGTTTTGAATTCATATCTGAATGGTTTTCATAATGGTCGAGCACAACCTATACCTTAAACTTAAAAGTAAAATAAATGGAAGAACAGAAATATATCAGAAATATATATATTTTCAAATACAAATCTTCCACATTGTAATGCTAGCATGAACTATAGTTGCTATACCAGCTTGAATAGACTGTACTGGTAACTTTTTTTCTTTGAATAGTGTCCCTATAGTTACTCCACTTCAGGTGTACATGCATCTCTTGAATCTTTTATTGGAAATTTTCAATAGCAGTGTCTGTTAAGCCCATTCATTTCACTCCACACATTATAGTTCCCTGTAACTGACTAGAGCTAGATACACACCATCCTCAGTTCTTTTTCAACCACCTCAGTGTGAGATAGTGTCTATCATACCTGCTTCTAGTGCTGCCTGGAGCTTGCTTTAGGATTGTCTAGGTTTTAGATTAGTGTCACTTCTACAAGTTATATTGTATAGTTTCTTTGCTTTGGTTGAGAGGGCTTTTTCAATGTTCCTTCTTCTCCAATGTTTCTTCTTACCCAGAATGAGTAGGAATGGTTATCCCTAGCCTCTGTTTCTCTGGAGGTGGGTGACAGGAGGAATCACGTGAGGATTATCTGTTGTGATCCCTCCCTCTGGAGCATCTGAGCATCTGGTATTGCCACCATTGGCAGACAGGATACTGGGCTAGATGGACCTTTGGTCTGACCCAGTATGGCCGAGAGTGGGGAGAGGTTTTCTTGATATTTCCAAAGAAGTCATAATCTTTGGTACCAATGATTTCTGCTAGGCAGAACACATAGCAAGTCTCTACCTGATACAAATCCATCTAACACCACAGGAATTTAGATATCTAAGAGACTTCTTTGTTTCAGAAGAGTTGGAGTCTCTTGTCTCAGTAGGTACCAAGTGTCCAATGATACTAGTATCACCAGGATTAGATCTTTCCCTGGTGTCACCTGCTTCTCCAGTACTTTCTGAGCCAGGCAAAGCTCCTTCTGTAGAGAATAACATGGGCCTCTCTTCAGATTCCTAAATATTTGTGCAAGGACCAGTCATCATAGAGATATCTTGATAGAAAGAAAGATCTAGGAATAAGAAAAATCCATGTCTTTTCTCATTGGTATGACCAACATTAGATCTTCTGTGCTTAATGGCTCTCTTCAGAGGCCATATTTAGACCTTTAGGCCACTTATTAACAATTTTCAAGTGCCTTTCTCATGGTGATCACTTGGGAAGACTGCTAGCACACATGCAGCTTGTACTTTTGTAACACATAATGCGAGGTTATACATTCACTGCTTCCAGGGATAGGTTAGGGTAATTTATAGCCTGGACAACCATGATCTAGACAAGCTTGTGTCTTTCCCTCATTGATCGAACCCTGCAAATTTGCAGGTATCTGCTTTGCATCCGCAGATGTGGATATGGATATCCACGGTTCATTTTTTGTGGCTATCTACAGCTCATTTTTGTAAATACAGATGCGGGTACAAAATTTTGTATCAGTGTAGGGCTCTACTCATTTGGCTCACTCAGCTTGGTGGAACAATACATCCAAAGTCTGTGCTAGTGTTCCCTTCAGCCATTGTCATATCACTGTAACATTAGAGCAGTAGCCCCCAACCTTTTGGGGCTGCTGGGCGCCTGGGGGCGGGGCCGCACACGCGCCGGGCGCCCGGTGCTGGCACCACTCCTGTGCCACACACCCAGGGGTGGAGCTGCCCGTACGCCATGCGCCCGGGGCTGGCGCCGCTCCTGTGCTACGTGCCCAGGGGCAGGGCCGCCCATGCGCTGCATGCCCGGGGCCAGTGCTGCTCCTGTGCCGTGTGCCCAGGGGCGGGGAAGCCCATACACTGCGCTCCCGGGGCCGGCACAGCCCATGCACTGCGCACCTGGGGGTGGGGCTGCCCATGTGCTGCACCCCCGGGGCTGGCGACGCTCCTGTGCCACGTGCCCGGGGTGGAGCTGGTCCTGATCAGTCGGTGGGCGCACAGAAATGGCCTGGCAGGTGCCATGGCACCTGCGGGCACTGTGATGGGGACTACTGCATTAGAGACATCCATAGTATGATGCAGGGGCACACTTAGGGAGGCTCACCATTCAGGACATATTGTTCAAGTGTCTTCTACACATCAGTTTCCTGGTGCCATGAGTGGTCAAGAATGCCTTCAGCTACTTCATTCCATTAATCAAAGGCAAATCAATCAGTGTCATTGCACACAGCATAGCCTGCATGTTCTTCAACATTGTCAGGAGGAAAAGGGTGCAAGATCCCTTCTCTCTGTGCTGACTCAATAAAACTCTAAAACGGATGAATAAGCAATCACATCCTTATTTCAGTCTCACCTTCCAGTCTGACCGTGGCTGACAATCTCAGCTGTTGCTTCTCCCTGAGTATAAAGTGAGAGCTGGACTTGTGGATCCTCAGTTGTATTTTTCTGACACAGGTGTTTCTGGAGGTGGACTTGTTTACTGCTGTTGCTAATAGTAAATGCAATAAATTCTTCTCATTAGGGATAGAAGAGGTTAACTGCTTACTCAATAAACATAGACTTAGAACAGAATATTGAAGATCTCCTGTAGCTAATCATGAAAACCTCGGAGAGTAGCCATGTTAGTTTGTGAGGGTATGTCTACACAGCAACATTATTTCGAAATAACTAATGTTATTTTGAAATAACTTAGTCTGCATCTACACAGCAGGCAGTTATTTCGAAATAATGTCGAAATACTGTCAAGGTGGAGGACTTCTTACTCCGACTCCTGTAATTCTCATTGTACAGGGATTAAGGGAAGTCAGAGAAAGAGTGCTCTCTCCTGGACTTCCTGCTGTGTAGATAGCTTATTTTGGCGTTTGCCGCTATTTTGACTTAAGCTACCCAATTGACGTAGCTCAGTTTGCGTAGCTTATTTCGAGCTAAGCCCTGCTGTGTAGATGCACCCTACCTGAAAAACTTAAAAAACAATGATTGGTCCTGCAGCACCTTAGAGACTAACAAAAATGTATATAGTATCATGAGCTTCCGTGGGCACGCCCCACTTCTTCAGATGAATGGAGCAAGGGACCCATAGGTCCAAATAAATAGCAGAAGAAGAGGGGGGATGCTTGTCAGTTAGAGTGTCCATGTTAAATGAGTCTAATAGAGTGGGCTGTGAGTGCCAGATACTTAGCTTTTGATGTCATTAGGGTGTTCAATGTAGCAGCCCATCCAGATCATGTCTTTGTTTAAACCTTGATGTCAGATTTGCAAATAAAGGCAAATTCCACAGCTTTTCACTCCAGCTTTTTTTTTAAATTGCTTTGTAACAGTATAGTCACTTTTAGATCCATTAGTGAGGGCCCCAGGCAAGTTAAAATGTTTCCCAACAGTTTTCTCTGTGTTACCATTTTAAATATCTAATTTGTGTCCATTAATCCTTTATCATAGAGAATGTCACAGGATCAATGTGACACAAAGAATTAATGGACACAAATCAGACATTTGAAATGGTAACATACAGAAACAGGAAAAACTGAGGAAATGCCTCAAGAAGTGAGCCAAAGTACTTCTCTCCAAAATCTGCTTTGGGACACTAATCTCGTTTTGTGGATAATATTTAAGGATGTTGGAGCCATTGGATAGCCTTATATGAAGCTTTGTCTATTCAGTTGGAAGTGTCCCATCTTGTTTCTATTGTAGAACATTTTAATCAGGTCTTTCTGCTTTCCATCCCCAAATATTGAGCTTTTAATTCTACCTGATCTATTTGGGCTATGCGCTTTGAGGGCAGTGGAATTTATACATTTATTATAGACAATAGGGAATGTACTTTATATATTCTTAGACCCCAGGTTTCACTGTTCCACTTTTCAATGCTGGTCACTCTTTTTGCTTTGACTCAAAAAGGCATTATGGATGCTTTTGTGACTTCTTTGCTGCAATTCTAGGATTGTTTAAAGAAATAGTAATAATTAGCCTGAGCTTTCACAGTCTTAAATAGCTGCTTCTGTTTCACTTATTCAAGAGTGATTGTAGCAATGTTGATTCCAGGATATTAAAGATAAGATGGGTGAGGCAAAAACTTTTATTGGACCTCCCCTTTGTTGCACAGAGCTCTTCCTCGGGTTAAGGCACACAGATGTAGCAACTGTCTTTTGCAGGGCAGTCACGTGTGGTGTTTTGTAACCAGTGCTACCTAATGAAACCGCTATTTCTGATAACGATGTTCTAAACCACAACACTGATTCTTTTATAGTTCACAGACTGATTCAATTGGTGAAGGAATTCGACTTGAGTGCATTGAGTGAGCTCCATCTTTTTGAATGACCTCAGGAGAACCCAATGAGTTGCATTTCTTAGTTAGTGGTGACATGGAAGATGTGGTCTTCATGGTATAGTATCATGCTTAAATAACAGTTTTCTTGCTGGATCCTGCTTAGCAAATAGGTGTCAGATCTCTCTTTTTGCACCCTCTTCTCCTATATATCATGTCTGTTGCTGACTTTCAGAATTTTTCTGAAGCAACACAGAGTGAGACAGGGCTTATCTGATTTTGAAATTGTAATCAATTTCTGAATAGCAGTGACCAGTCTTCATTTTGCCTAACTCTGATTTTGAAAGCCTTAACTGGTAAGAGGCAGAAGGTGAAATCCTGGTCCCATTAAAAAGCAAAGGCAAGATTCCAATTGGTGGGACCAGGATTTAACCCACACACTGTATCTGTCTGCACACTCATTAAGGTAGGTTTGTTCACAAGCATTAAAGAGTGACAACTTGCTTTTGTTTTTTAAAAGGAAGGTTATACACCACAATAATTGAATTGTTGGCTTATATGCAGTTAATTTTTACTATATGCCGTTTTTGAATGTCAATTACCCAAGGAATATGAATCTTAGTATCCTGTAACTTTTGCTGGTCTGTGCTGCATTTACGCAGGCAAGATATATGTCCTTATATTCCTGTGTGACTTTGGAGAAAGAACCCTGCACTGTAGCCCAAAGGAGCATTAGCTCTTTTGGAAACATGATAACACTGTGTGAGCTCTCAGCTCTTTGTTAGTGCATTATAACTGTCTAGCTTACAGCAGTAGTCAAATCCATGCCCTGAATTTCCATACTGCTGAGTGATCTGCTTAGCATTTTGGACAGCATGTTACCCATTTTAAAACCTTGTTAAAAATTATTAAATGGAGAAGGTTATGTGTTAAAGGAAGGACTGAGCGATTCACCAGAGAGAACCTGCAAGTTTCAATGCTGCTGGCACATCTGACAAGGAGCACTTAACTAGCACAGACAAATTTAAATTACAGCTCACAGTTGTAACATCATGGCTGTGACTAGACTGGCAAGTTTTTCCACATAATCAGATGATTTTGCGGAAAAACTTGACAGCTGTCTACACTGGCCGCTTGAATTTCCGGAAAAGCACTGATGATCTCATGTAAGATTGTCAGTGCTTTTCCGGAAATACTATGCTGCTCCTGTTTTGGCAGAAGTCTTTTTCCAAAAGACTTTTGCCCAAAAGGGCCAGTGTAAACAGTACAGTAGTGTTTTCCGCAAAAAAGCCCCGATCGCGAAAATGGCGATCGGGGCTTTTTTGCGGAAAACGGCGTCTAGATTGGCCACAGACGCTTTTTCGCAAAAAGTGCTTTTGCAGAAAAGCATCCTGCCAATCAAGACGTGCTTTTCCGAAAATGCTTTTAACTGAAAACTTTTCCGTTAAAAGCATTTTCGGAAATTCATGCCAGTCTAGACGTAGCCCGTGTGTTCTGCACATGTGTGCTATGCCTGGCTATTACTCCACAGAGATCACTGTTCTCGTTCCTCCCTGCCTCCTACAGTAACTTATATGAAATCCTGGCCTCCCAGTCTTAGAATTCAGGGCATTTGTGCTTTATTTGTGTCTTATGACTATGGTTAGGAGAATGAAAGACATGAGACTTAGAATGCCTCTCATGTCTGAAGTGATGTTAGAGATCAGTGTTAAATCATATCTCAGATACCTACCTAGTCTTCACTATATAACACTACATAGTGATTTGCCCAAGACCTTGTCATGCAATCTGAAGGTCATTTTGTGCCAAGCCTTTTAGTGTAGCACTAGAAGTGAGCACAGTTAAACTTCCTGACTATCCTACTGTGTAACAGAGGAGTGAGGGGCTCGTCTTTTCCCCTGGAGAGTCTATTCCTCTTTCTTCAGACATGCACCAACATATATCAATGACATTCTTCCAGCCATGATTTAAAACTAGCTTCCTGCTTTGCATTTTATGGGAATTTTTTTATTATTGAATGGTGAGTTAGTAGGGTTTCCTATAATACACCAATTTTTGGAAACTTACTAGTTTGAATTTTGTTTTTTGGGGGACAGTAGGGGCAGAACTCAAGCCTTTGTGTTAAGCGCAGAAAAAAGTGGTTGTACTTCACTTGTCTATTGGCTTTTTGACTGGATAACATTTTGAGCACTCTGTGTCACTGCTGTTCTAACTAGGGCAGGTTCACAAGGGCAAAAAGTGTTGATAGGCTAGTGATCATAACTGTCTCATTCCATGCAACGAAATCTTCTATGTAGTTATTGTTTATTTCCATTACTTTAACACAGGGGTGGGCAGTAAATTTTGATGGGGGACACTCCAAGATGGTAAGTGGTCCAGGGCTGCACTTGGGGAGGATGGATACAGGAGAAGATTCTGGCCAGGGGAGGGTTTAAGAGGTGATGCAGGGTCTGGGAGGGTGTTGTCACTGGGGGAGGTGGTACAGAGGGTTTGTGTGGTGAACTGGGTGGTGATGGCAGAATGGAGCAGGGAGTGGGAGGTGCCAGAGGCAGGCTCTGAAGGCGCTTACCTAGGCAGCTCCCAGCCTGCAGCACCCTGAGGCAAGCTTCCTGGCTGCTGCAGGCCCAGGCTGCTCAAAGCGGCTGGTTGCAACCTGTGGCTCTCTGCTCCAGGTGGCGTGGGGGAACTGGCTAATGGGAGCTGAGAGATTTTGCTGAGGGGTGAGGGCAAAGTGTGAAGCCTCTCCCTCCCCCCAGCACCCAGACCTGAGCGCCACAGGGAATAGCCAGATCCTTAAAGCGGCATGAAGATGCTCTGTGCCTGATGGTCCTGGCGAGGTAGCCTGCAAGCCAGATCCAGGAGCTGGTATCTTGCGCACCCCTGTCTTAGCATCCAGAGGCCCAAACTGAGATACACAGTGGGACCCGCAGGGACTCTTGTCCTGTGTGTATATACATTGCCTCACTATCTAAGTAGACAAGTAGACTATAGGAGAAAAATAGCAGCCATTATCCCTAATTATACTGATGGGGATCTGAGGTACAAAGATTAAGTTAACTTTTGTAAGATCACATAGGAATTGGAAGTTGTTCCTAGGTTTTCTGTGGTCCAATCTAGTGCCTTAACAACAAAACCATCTTATCTTTTTTACAGTCTGTACCATTGGTAAGAGAAAGAAATACTACTAAATTATTTGCTTCAGCTGCTCCCTATGATTTTTAATGCACTCAAGACCTTGCAGGGAGGGCTGTAATACTGAGTGCTGACTATTAGAACAGGGACAGTTGCCCTCTGGAAGGGATGGGAAGACTAGGGCACATTGGCCAATCTGGCCCCTGACTTCCCTTTTGGGGGTGGGGGAGTAGAGGGGAGCCTGCATTAAACTCCTACATGGCCTGTTCTGCCTAGAGGGAAGGCTCTGTGCATGGCTGTTCTTTTTCTGGCTAGGGTAATGGTAGCACAGAGGCCTGCAGGCTTTTCCCCTGGGAATCAAGGCCCACTGGCAGAGCCATGTGCTCTCCCCCACCCCCAAGCTGCACAAAGTAAACACCCCCTATCTCTGGCACCCTACTTTATGCTCAGCCCACTCCTGCACCCTGCCTCCAGACCACTCATCAGCAGCCTGCTCCTGCAGAATGAACCCCATTTTTTGGTCCCAGCCCAAAAGTGTTATTCCAGCCCTGAAGGGAAGCCATGAGCCATAGCGCACCTATGCTGCCCTCTCCCCCCACACTTGGGGCCCAACTTACATGAGTGAGGTGTCCTTTCTTTTTCTGCTTCTCAGCTGGGGCCCAGATCAGAGAGGGTTTTTTGTTCTTCTCACTTGTTTGGTCCCGACTGATTCTTCTGGGTGCCAGTGTCCCCCCAACCCAACAAAGGCTTTGTGTCATGTGTGACACACTGAGACCAAAATTTAAAGCTAATCAAAATAGTAAATGTATAGCTTTTCGTAACTCTCAATTTAAACTAAGCATTTTTGCACAAGTCTGCGGGTAAATCTAGAAGCTGTGGCTATTTGTATCTCAGTGCTTGTTGTCTGCCAGTAGCCAAGTAGATGTAGGTAGTGGTTTTGGGGGTGATTTGGCTTACACTATTCTGAATTTATTAGCTCTCCAGCTTATTTTTAAAGATTCTATCGGTTTTGCTCAGAAATTAAGATCATTGTGTGATATAAAAGGAATTGTCTTTTACACTGTAATCTTTGCTTGAAAATCAGTCTTTTCAGAAATGCTCTCAATCTCTTTGATGTGGCTAAGCGTTGTGAATTGGGTGTTGAAAATATACTTCCAAGGAACTAGAGAAAAAATGCATTAAATCTGTAAACTTTGACGTGGGATGACCTAAAGAACAACAGGGTTTAGTTTGAGTGAATATGATTCAGGTTCTATAAGATCCAACAGACAGACTGGAGCATTGCCTTGTGAAAGTAATGGATAGTAAAATCCAAAAGCAAAAGTGGCTGTGTGTTTTGTGGATGAACCCTACATGTGAAATAGCATAAACAGGTTATTTGTCCTTTGTATTTGGTATTGATAAGTCCACTGCTAACATAGAATATCCAGCTTTGGTGCCCACATTTCAAGAAAGAGAAATAAGAGGATTCAGAGAAAAGCCACAAGAATGATTAAAGAATTAGCGATGGAGATCAGTCTGTTTATAGAAGGTTACAGGGATAGTTGACTACAACCTTATAAGTATTCACCTAGGGAGCAAATATTAAATGATGAGCTCTTTAGTCTGGCTGAGAAGGGTCTAACAATGATATAATGGCTGAAAGGTGAAGCAAAGCAAATTCAAGATAGAAATAAGGTGTGGATATTTAAACAGTGAGAGGTATTAATCAACCATTGAAATAATTTATACCATGAATCATAGTTCATTCTCCATTACTGACCCTTTTTTTTTTTAAATCAAGATTGTTTTTTCTGAAAGATTTGTTCTAGGAATTATTTTTGGGAAAGTTCTAAGTTATGCAAAATGGTTATATTAGATCAAGCATTCTCAAACTTGGGAGGTTGTGATCCCTCAAGTGGTCATGTGGTTGTTACATGAAGGTGGTGAGCTGTCAGCCTCCACTCCCAAACCCTGCTTGCTATGTGAAAGGAATCACCCATACAAAAGTTTGAGAGCTACTGAACAAGATGATCACAATGGTCCCTTCTGGCCTAGGAATGTATGAAAT